GCGTATTTTCTAACACGCAACAATAGTATTTTATAAAATTTGTAGTGAAGTTATTGTGGTTGCAAAAGTATATTTCTATCACACAAATTTTTAACAAATAATCTTGATCAGGCACGAATGTTGAGGCAAAATTCAGTTGTAAACTTTCAAAATTAAATCTGGGATCATCTGAACTTCGATTACAGTAAACTTATAGTCAAACTGAACGTTTCGAAAAAAACCAAAGCAACAACACCAAAACCATCCAGATCCGAGCTCAAATGACTCCAAATCAAATGTCCAAAGCATACTTGAACTATTCAAAGCTTAATTTAGAATACCAAAAAAGTTTTAAATGTGACATGTTGATAGTCAAATCGAAAGGCTCGACGAGACGAATCCAACGAGCCCAATTTCACTGAATTCCGATATCATTAAGGCGTTCAAATGCCATTAAAAGATTCAAAATCAAGTGGATCAATATTTGTCGTTCATTCAAACCACTCCCATTTTGACATTGATCATCCACATATTTACAAGTCATGTTACTCTAAAAAACTATAAGTAGCCCCCACTCTTATGATGAAAGGAGGAGGAGGAAGGAGGAAGGAGGTAGGAGAGGGAAGGGAATGAAGGAATTTATGAGTTGCTACCGACCACTACCAGAGTTCTTCCCGAGCATTGCCGGAGTTGCTCTCGACCACCACTAGAGTTCTTCTTCACAATTGTCGAAGTTCATTATATCTCGGCTGTCACCGAAGTTTCTTCCCAGTCGTTGCCAAAGTTTCTTCCCGATCATTACCGGTGTTTCTTCTTAATCGTCGCCAGAGTTTCTTTCTGATCGTTGCCGGTGTTTCTTTCTGATTGTCGTCGGAGTTTCTTATTGATCATTGCCAAAATTTCTTTCCGACCATTGCCAGAGTTCCTTTCCGATCATTGCCGAAGTTTTTCCTGACCATCATCAGAGTTTCTTCTCGACCACCGTTGGAGTTTCTTCTTGACCATCACTTAAGTTTTTCTCAACCACTGTCTTACTTTTGCCCGTTCATTAATCATCGCTAAATTTCTGTCTGATTATTCAATCTGTTGTAATTCCATCATCTCCAAGTAAAGGGGAGAATCAAACTTTGTAATCCATCAAAACTTAATGGAATTTTCTCATCTTGATTAGACCCAATGGTTTTTCTCTTTCTTGATTTTCTACGTAGAAAAGTTTCTGGCATTTTTCTCTCTCTCAACTATATTTTGGTGTGTCGGATATACGTACATTGCTAAGACGCTATATTTTTTTATTTACTATCGTGTATATTCTCGTCCGTAATAGTTTGACGTTGTCTATATGAAACTTCTATTCCTAGTTCTTCTTATTTAGTTGTTGATTGAAGTAATACCAAAATAGAATATCTCGCTCTAACACACATCGAACCAAATTCCCATCTAACAATCATGGAAGTCGTAATTATTCAAGAGAAGGGTCTTATTCCTTGGAAACTCGAATTCTAGGATGAAGGAGCAACATACACAAATCTTCAAAATATTGGAGTAGGCAGGCAAATAAAGGATGTCGTCTCAAAATGATGAAGCTCGTCTCCCTAATCCTCAATAACATAATATGGGTGAGCAATTCGAGAATACTCATCATCAAGCTATTGCTCCTCCTATGCAATATAATCCAAAAATATATGATGCTGCAAGTTCAACACAACTTCCACCTATAGCTTATCGGATGCAAAATCTTCAACCCGCTATTTAGAACATCATTCACTCATTATGATTATAAATCAATATAAAAAAGTAAAGATGAGAAATAATATATGCATACTGTTCTTTTATGATGTTAAAAATGAAATTAGATTGAAGATGAATAAGTATTTGATACAAGCTGGCATTGTTTTCAGTTGGAGATGATGTTAATTTTATTATTTCTATATGAGGCCTTTATAATATATTATTTGCGAGAAATTATAAATAATTTAAATTTGTATGTGAGGCCAACGTGGAAACGTTAGGATTGGCTCAAATTTCGGAAAGCTTTAAAAAAAATCTTTAAAGCAAAACAGATAAATTTTGTAACACTTGAACTTCTGTGATGGATGCATATCCACGAAGGTAGCATGGATCGGGGAGACGAATTCGAGACTGCAAAGACGGAGCTCTTGAGACAGATAGTGCCTCCCGATGAGATTCGTTGGAATCTGGAGTGGTGCGCGATCGCCGTGTGAGTTTGATAGGATGCTGCAAGATTGACAAGATGCAGATCGGTAGGATGCTGGAGAGCTGCACTGTGGGGATTGTTTAGATCATGAAGACGATGCGATGAGGAAGGTGAAGATCTGGGTTGGTCGATCGGAAGAGGTAGATGTCACGCCCCAAGATCTAACTTGGAAAGAATGTCAATCTATTTCTCAAACAATTAACCAGAGTTATCTAAAATCTTCAATTAAACAGTCCATCTTAAACTCATTTCAACATCATATATAAAATTTAAAACATCAATATATCAAACGTTCATATTCTCAAAGCTTATCTGTACATACTCAGGAACTACACTACAATCACCAGATATGAAAAGCTTATCCTGAGTACAAAAGAATCAAAATCATCAAAGAGACAAAAAGCGTTGTAGAAACCGGTATCAATTCTTATCTTCTGCTCCTTGCCCTGACGGAAAATAATCAACCACATATAATGAGCTTTTACAAAGCCAAACATGGCACGCTAATACCATAACTGAAATCAAGCATGGCTATGCTATCAAATGCATGTCAGTCATCAATCCATATCAGTCAAGTGTCAATGGCTATGCAATACAGAATTATAGTCAATAAAACCCAATCAATGCAGCGCAGGCTGATATCGATAATCAAATTCAATAAATCCATGTCAATCTCGAATGAAATCTGACACCAATAGGAATCAATCAATCCGCAAATCAATCGCTATCAAATTAAATCAATCAATAAAGTACATAGGGCAGTAGTAGACATGAATCTAATAGCAGACAAAGTAATGAAATCTTAAGGCAACTAGTGTCAATCGATTTTTATATTATTCATGTCCAGTGCTATCAATGTAATATCTATTTCCATCCATTTCTATATCAGTTGGCTCAATGTCGCATGCACAACAATCAATACAGTTGAAATCAATAAACGTACGATCTAGTAAATATCCAATAAGTCGAGTAAAGCTAGTAAACTTAAACAATGAACCATAAATCAATAAAGTAAACATGCAATTCCTACAATGGTCTTTACTCGACAAGCACAAACATTAGTCATGATCAATAGTGATGTATGTAGAATCCATATTGCTGTTGTAGATATCCAATTACGTTGGTTTAAATCAATAAGAGTCGTGCATCTTTTTTTGCCCGTCGG